CGTTACCGTGCGGAGGAGGGGGAGGGGAGCGCTGACTCACCCGCCGCGTCACTGCCGGTGGGGGGTGGTTCTCCTTAGCGCAACATGTCACAATATGTATAGTAACTGTTCTCAGTGATGTGACCAGAGTACATACTCTTAAGGAAAATATACAGTATATTCAACTGTTCAAAATCTTCTCAGTTTTTAGTGAAATGTAAATGAGTTCCATGGCGAAACATTGTATCAAATGTTCACAGACTGATAGTGGCTTTCTGGAGCCCACTTACATATATTTCCAAGCAGTTGCTGCACCTACTACCCACAGCACAGATGTGGATGGTATTCAGAGACCAGGCAGTAATTGGTGACTTTCCCTTGAATGTATTGATTATTTGTTGGTAGCCATAAGGATTGGCATCTCTCTCCTTACACTGCTTAATAATCACATATATTTCCCTTCCTCCAGAACTAGTAGATAAAGTGATAAAGGGGTAAATAGAGTAAATTTAATAGGCATCTGTATCTCTGTTTCATATATATATGTTATCAGGTAAACAACAGCATATTTGTAGCTCATAATGAGTTTGCAACAAATTGTGTTCACTGTCAGAGTAGGTGGAAATTAGATTCTTTAATTCTGAAGACTGGCCACAGACCAGTTTGCAATACTACCAGTTGCAGAATAAAGATATAGTTCATACTGATTAGTGTCTTGTGATTTTCAGTTCATATTGACATCACCAGAGTGTTCAACAATGCTTTACTTCAGCAGACTCAGTCAGTTGATAGTCATGGAGAAAAAACTGTAGCAGCCCTGTACACCCAGTGGTAAGTCGTCGTCGTTGTTGTGGTTGTTTATTTCACCATTTAAAGCACAGTGGACACTGCACATGTCACCCCTTGAGCATTAAAAAACTGTGTTTTGCCCACATATTGCATTTGTGAGTTTTGTATGGTTCACAAAATAAACTGCAGTTATTTCACTAAGGAGTGTTAATCTATTGATTTTTGTAATGGAGATTCAGCATTTTCTCTAAGATAGGAACTGAATTTATAAATACTATTTACATGAATTTCATCTGTAAATGAAATGTACACATCCTCAAGATTACAAACCTTGCGGGTTCACGTTATTTAGTATATTCCTAATCATACATGGAATATTTTAAATTGTAATAATTTTTTTAATGCTAGTGGGGTGGGACTTAGTCCCTTTTACTGCGGCCACTTCTTGCCTATTGTACCAGCCCCAGATGATAGATGATGGTGATTGTGCAGCAATTGGTGGAATGAAGATTGGCAGGGGAAACCAAAGTACTCGGAGGAAACCTGCCCCAGCGCCACTTTGTCCACTACAAATTCCACTTGACGAGACCCGGGATCGAACCCAGGCCACCGCTGTGGGAAGTCAGTGACTAACTACTTGAGCTCTGGCATGGTCATAAATTGTAATAACTTAGCCAAGAAGTTATTTATGGAATGCTAATGATTTGGTATTAAATTTACAATTATCCTGTTGTGTATTCAGTTATTAATCATAATTATTCAATAATTTTATAGTAGTTGTACCTGTAGCTCACACTGAGTAAGGTTAATGAAATTCTTTTAAAAGTAAGCAAGATATGGCAATACATTGTGAACTGGCAGGATGTGTTAAAGTGGGAATGACTGTAAGCACAACTTATTTTGTTATATTAAACATATAATGATACCAAAAATCACCTCTTGTGTTGAACATTTTATATTGTCTTCAGGTTGTACATACTTGTAAAGAGTTTGTTGTTGAATTGTAGGTTACCTTATTGAGATGGATCCATTTCAGCTTAGTTTGCTATGCAGTGTAGAATTAAAAATTAAACTTATAAAACTTACTAAGATGAACTTCCAATTGTTATTACATACTGCTGTTTTGGAGGTGTGTTACTATGAATTTCTGACATTTATCCACATAAAATCAGTGTGCTGCTTGCAGACAAGTGATTAAAATGTGTAATGTATGTTTAGTATAATGAAGAAAAATGTTTTTGTGCTAGATAAATCAGAGTAGTAGAGCATTTGTGTTTCTTGGATAAAATGTGTTTTTAGCCATCTTTTATATAATAGTGAAATATTGTAGTATTGCCCAGTGCATTTTAAGACCAAGACTGTTGAAGTGGGCTGTCTGAAACCAAGCATTTTAAGTTTTCTTTAATGTGGACCACTAAAAAGTGACATAACTATAATTAACATCATAAAATCTTCCTGGACTGTTATTGTTGTAACTGCCTCGGTGAAGGAAGATGAGCAGGGAGGCCAAGGTCACACTTACACAGCCATGTTGCATCATTCTACCATGTGGCACTGCACTGTGAACATGCATTGTTTTTTCTTGAGTGCTTTCTCAACTTTGCGTTTCGTTTTGTCTGCGATAAATGGCAAAATTGAGCAATGTGTCACATCTAATTTTGCTTGAAGTTCAGGAAATCTGCTACCTGAACCCTTGAAATGCTTCATGAGGCTTATGGAGAGCATTCTTAAGCCGGAAAGTGGTTTTTGAATGACATTCGCGTTTGAAGGCTGGTCGAGTGTCTGTTGAAGATGACAAATGTTCAGGGTGACCAAGCACCAACAAAGTGACAGAAAATGTTGATAAAGTTTGAGAACTCATCAGTGAAGGCTGTCCCTGAACAATCCATGAGCTCGCAGACACCGTTGGGATCAGTTATGGAGTTTGCCAGGAGATCTTAACAGAAAATGTGAACATGATCGGCATTTCTCCTTCACGTGACAACATGCCCGCCCTCACATGTCTGTGAAAACCACAGAGTTTGTGACTAACAACAACATGGTTATCATTCCCCATCCTCCCTACTCACCAGACTTAGCCGCCTGTGATTTCGCTTTGTTTCCAAAATTGAAAATGACACTGAAGGGACAACATTTTGAAACAGTGTCTGACATCCAAAGGGAATCATAAGAGGTCCTTGACAGAGTTAAGGAAAACAGCTTCCACCATGCTTTTGAAGCATGGAATAAATGATGGGATATGCTCCAAAGGAGACTATTTTGAAGGAGATGGCAGCCAAATTTGAGTAAATTAAGCCAGCATTTCTTTTTTGGCCTAGTCTATGAACTTTCTGATAGCAACTCATAATTTTTTTCTCATACAGGTTGATGGGCTTAGAGTTAATTGAACTTCACTGGTTATTTATGATTGTTAATACACTGAGCAGGTTCGACCACAACTACTTACACAAACTTAAAATAAATTTAAGTAGTGTCATTTCCTCTATACCAGGTGTAATAGCTGTACCACCATGATTCATTTACCAGAGCCTTGATTGTAAATGCAAGTTCTACCATGTGAAGATGAGGTTGGAAGTAAGACAGGCTTCATGTTGGCTGCAGTATCTCATATACGTGTAATGAATATATTGACTTATTTTATTTTGAGGCACATGCCAATTCTTTCAGCATTTATTATAACTAATAGTGGAGGCTTATGCTATTATTTTTCTTTATGTCTGTGTGGTACTTCTGACCACCTCTGTGGTCTAATGGTCAGAGTTACTGCCTACAGATCCAGAGGTTCAGGTTCGATTCCCTGGCGTTACCAGATTTCCTGAGAAGTAGTGGGTCTGGAACCGGGTTCACTCAGCCCCGTGAAGATAATTGAGGCACCATTTCAACGAAATAGTGCCTCCGATTTAGAACCGAAATTAATGGCTGTGGGGATTCATTGCGCTGACCACATGACACCATCTATTCGCTAAAGTTGGCCCTAACTTCGCCGGCAAGCGGCAGTCACTCGGTCGGTATAGTTCGCTTGCAGACTCAAGCCATGGAGTTTGTTTTTTGTTTGTGCTGTTTCTTCTGTCTCTTTGCTTGGAACTCTATGTAGATATTAGTAAGGGTTTCTTTATTAAATTTGTATCCATTGATACAGGACTTTCTCTTCAGGTATTCAGAAGTGTTGCTGCGTCGTGTGAGTGCTGGGAACATCTGTTTCTCCAATAACCAGAGAGCTTTTGTTAGTCTCACAGCCGAGGGAGCCATCCCATTTAATGCTGAAGAATTTTCAGACATCAATGAATTGCGAGCGTTAGCTGAACTGATTGGGCCGTATGGTATGAAGCTTCTGAATGAGACCCTGATGTGGCACATTGCAAGTCAGGTACAGGAACTGAAGGTATGTACATATATCTCTTGAACTAACTTCACTTCACTTCACTTCACTTTTAATTTCAAGATAGTAATTTAGTGTATTATAATTTTAGGTCTGTAAATTATAGGGGTTCACTCAGCATTGTGAGGATAATAGAGTTGCTGTTTCAAGGAAATAGGAACCGAGATTAACGTCCGTAGGGATCCATTGCGCTGACCACGCTGCACCCTCTATCCGCTAAAGTTGGCACTAACTTCGCCGACAAGTGGCAGTCACTCGGTCGGTATAGTTTGCTTGCAGACCACAGGCCATGGAATTTGGTTTTTTGGTTTGGCCTGTAAATTTTTCTTCCTCTGCTTGTGCAATCACACTTCATTATTTGTACACTGCACTTGATATCTTTAAAGGGATGAATGGAGATGGCGGATGAGGAATGCATCTATAATTAGAGATGAGGATAAAATGGAGCCACAGTAGAATGAGTAGGGATTATAACAATAATGTCATAGTAACAACAGCATCAGCACTCTGAGTCTCTTATTGTTACATGAACAGAAAAATCTTATATAGAACCAGCATTTTTCGCACACTTTCAATATAACGAGTTATTACTAGCTACCACTTACTTCTTTTCCACAACTTCTTGCATGAACTGTAATCACAGGTTTCCTTACCAAGCTGTTTATACCTGGGATTCCATAGAGGTGTCAGTAAACCATGCTTTTTGTCACTCCGATGTTTGGAGAAGAAAGTCCACATTCCAGGATCTGAGAGCTGTATGTCTGAACAGCTAATTTACATAGTTCTGAGACAGAAGCGCTCAGCATGTGTGTTCAGAGCCCTTCCAATTTGTGACTGAGAAACATAAGCTGACAGTTGCAAGTACGAGAGGATATGTAAGCATGGGAAATCTTGAGATTCTTGGTTGAGGTACTACTGAAGATATGGAGAATGTTCAGTTATTTTTCCTTGCTCTCATGTCTACATGATAAGCACTTCAAACAACTCAGGAAATATTTTACATAGCTTAACACTTTGGTACATTCACTCAGTTACTGTGTGTGGATAGCTTAAAGTACATTTTGTTTACTTATCTGGAAAACTGCATAACTTATGATACAAGTTTTCTTGGCATAAAATTTTCCAAGAAATACTCGTCAACATAGAGCCAGAGTTAGAGTCAGTACAAAATTTTGTGTCAGATACTAATTATTTTTACAGTTTTGGAATGCTCATGTCTTTTGTGTTTATATCACATACAGATATTGTAATTAATTGAAAATGTGTAAACAGGGTGGTTCGTGACTTAATGTCTTAACTTCAAGAGTTTATACCTGAGGTTGTTCCCAGTCAGAAAAGTCATATAAACACAGGCCTGATTCTTATTGGTTATGGATTTATCACTGAATGTTAAAAAATCAAAAATAGTTGAACAACACCTGTTCAAAATGACCGCCCTCAGCCTCAGTACATGTACTGGCTCATCTCTGAATCAAGTACATAGCTCACATCATGTAATTAGGATTGTCTTTTATACCAGTTGCATGATCCAATGGAGGAGTGTGTTCTTTTTGCACATTTTGCTGGTACATTAGATCTTTCATGTGCCTCCATAGATAAATGCTTGAGGTCAGGAGATGTGGGTTGCCAATGCTGCAGATCACCACATTTGATCCATCAATCAAAGAAGTGATGATCAAGATTTGTTATCACTGCCTGGCTAGAATGAAAAGGTTCTCCTTCATATTGCTCCAGTATTTTTTTTTTATTGCTAGTGGGGTGGGACAGTCCCTTGTACTGTGGCCACTTCTGGGCTATTTTACCAGCCCCAGATGATAGGTGAGGGTGATTGTGGAGCATTTGGTGGAATGAAGATTGGCAGGGGAAACCTGCCTCAGCACCACTTTGTCCACCACAAATCCCACTTGATCAGACCCGGGATCAAACCCGGGCTGCCGCAGTGGGAAGCCAGCGACTAACCACTTGAGCTATGGTGTGGCCGATAATGCTCCAGTAACTCCAGTAGTAATAGGATCTTGAAGTTTTATTGAGTGACATTGGTTATGTTGGAGAATGCTTCGACTTTCAAACAGAAAGTAAAATAACAGAAATATAGTAATTATTGTGGCAATAAATAATTGAATATATATGTGACCTGAAATAATTTGTGATATTCTAGTAGTTTATTTCATATATAACCTTGGATGGTTTAATAACATGTCATTACTTGTATGTTCCTTATCATAATTTACATGTTAAAACAGATGGTGAAAATATTCAGTTATTGTCATGGAGTGCTGTTTGGTGTTCTGTGGTAATCATATTAATCATTTTCCTCTTCATAGCAAAGTGGATATTATCCATTTTTTATTTCATACTTGTTTTCTTGTTAAGAAGTATATTCTATTGGAGTAAATGAGATCTAACCCTTCAGAATCCTAATTGTGCTTTGCTTACACTGTGTTGTTTTAATGCCTTTTTCTTGTGCCAATTTACAGAAACTGGTTGCAGGAAACAAGGATGTGTTAGTTGCACTGCGAACCAACTTTGATAAACCAGAAATAATGAAAGAGCAGTTCAAGAAACTTCAACGTAAGTATTGGCGTTTCCTTTGAACGGCTAGCCAGTGCATGTTGCGAGTTGTAGTTTGAGGTTAGAGAAGTTGAGAAGGAATCTTAGTTTACTTTCTTGTTCACTCTGTGTATGGGTGGCATTTGAATGAATGATTCTTTAGAGAAGTTTGTTTCTTTTCCATTGCAACCACAGGACCAAAAGTGGCTCTGAGTAAGCAGTTGGATTTCTTGATCTGCATGCATATTCACTGTTCTTCTACCAACATTGCTACACTTGTTTCTCTGTACATACAAATGTATAACCTGTGTGTTCTTAATATTATGCATGAATATATATTGCAGAATTCTCTTTTCTTTGTTGTTACAAAGAGTAAAAGCTCTGCTGTCTGTATTTTGATATTAATGTTAGAGGAAGCGGCCTCCGTAGTCTAGAGGTAACGTTCCCACCTCATGACTCGTAGTACGCGGGTTCAAATACCCGGCGGAGGCCGTCAAATTTTTAAGGGCGGAAAAGGGAACAAGTCCTCTAGGGGGGACTTTAAACTGTGGGTCCCGTGTCTTAGCTTTACGGCACGTAAAAGAGCCTCATATCTCCTAAGGAGGTCACTGAGCCAAATTACGGACGTTTCCTGCCGAACAGCAGTCTCTAATACCTCTGGTAGATGGGGGAAGCATTATAGATACCACTCAGCTAGTAGAGCCGGTCTCACTGGCTGGGCGGGACTGATGGTAAGCACCAGTACCGGTAGGATATAGAGACTGGTAGAAATCATAGAGGGAAGCACAATGGACCAATACAGGTCTAAGTGCATGGGGAAACCCACCCTCTCCAAATAACTAACTAACTAACTAAGGTTAGAGGAGGTAGAGGTAAAGTTGTCCCTATGCTTAGCTAATCAAGCACTATGCCATGAAGGATGCATAGATCCACATTTTCTCTAAGGGATAGGTAAGTGATGTAAAGGTATGATTCATTAATTATGTAATTCAGCATGTTATGATTTTACCATTATATGAGCTGGTTGCCTCTCTGGTATTACGGCTGCCTTTTATTCAATCCATAGTTAAATAATCAGTTATGAATAAGCTTGTCCTGATATGGTGCAAAGTCTCCTTCAGCCTAAACAAAAATATCACAGAAATTTACTTTGTGATGAGTCATAACAGCCTTCCTTCTTGCTCCACTCCATTATCAGGCCTAATAGAAAGCTTTGTTCTGCACCAGACAGTTTGCTTTACTATTACTGATAAACCAGACCCACTTGTATATGGAATATTTGCACATCTGAAGAACAAGGTATGGTTCCAGCTAAATCAGGCTAGTTCCTTTGTCATTAGGTATTTATTGTTTACTGACACTATGAATTGCAGAAGTTATGCAATATAAGAGACTAGGATAGTAATGAATAATGAACCGGAAAGGATGTAATAAGATGCTGTAACATCCTACTTTAAAATACTCTCCCTGCATTTTCTGGTATGAAACCAAAGAAAAGCTCTTTCAGCATATATAGGAAGCGACTGTGGACCTTCTAAGGTATTACTTGTAGCATTTATATGCTGAAACTGAGGAGCCATGACAACTGTGGCATTTCATTTATGGATGTTGAGATACCAAGTGAAATGTCCTGAGCTAAATTCAAATGTAAGGGATAGAATTGTAAATCTGAGATACTGTAACAGTTCGACAAACTGGTAAGGTAAGGTAAAGTTGTCCCTGTGCTTAACTAATTAAGTACTATGCCATGAAGCTGTGTGGGGAGCAGAAGTTTTGACCCGTGCATTCTTGACATCGACACTGTTTGGAGGTGAGTGGTCAGCTTCACGCCCTGACAACTTTACCCCAGGGAAAGAACCCCAGATACCCACTGGATAGGAGGCGGGATGGGCCCCAGAACTGGTCTTGAGGATGTGCAATATACATTGTAATTTGTGTGGCTTCTGTTCATTGGCCTCTGTAAAGTGGCTTTATTTCCCGGTAATAATAGTATGATGATAAAGAAACATTTCTCGCTGTTTTCTGGTTATAAAATGTTCACTGTACTTGTTAATATCATTCTTCCGAAGGTAAATACATCCCCAGAAATTACATTTAGAAGCGTTTCACTTGTGACACATATGAAACTATGTTTAAGGAAGACCATAAAACATTCGTATCAACCAAAAACCATATTCTGAGTGCAGAGTTTAGCGGTTCTCCCTATTTCAGAAATCTTCAAGACTGTATTGTGGTCACAGTATGAATCATCACAACCTTGAAACCCTCACATCTCAAAGATCAGTTTTTATTACAAGGCTTAACATCTTATGCTTTTCTCAGTGTCTGTAATTTGTTGTGTCAACATTCAATTTTTATGTGTAAAATAATTTTAATTTTACAACATTTTGTAAATTTTAAATTGTAATTAATAGTATATATTGACTGTCAGTATAAATGATATTTAATTGAAGTGTTTTTTTTTACATTGACAGGATTTTTATTATGATTTATTGAATAAATTTATATTATGATTGGCCTCAGAAATGATGCAGGTAATGAAATTAATGTACATCATTTGTGCACTTATTTTTAAGAACAAGTACAGGAAACAAATTCTACAAAACCCTTGTCCTTTCTGGCTTGCTTTGCATGTTACCAGTAAACATAGCCATGTTAAGAAAAAAGCCTATGTAGGCATTTTAACCACAGCAAGGAAGAGAGAAAAAAGAGCACAGAATACGTCGTCATAACAAGTATTCATTCTTGTGTTAAGCTGATACTGTGAAAGATAAATTTGACATTAACATTAAAAGCAGAAATTAACTTCATTTTATAAATATGAATATTTATATAAGTTAAGTCTAAGTTTTTAAATATATCGAGTGGTTAACCCATTTTATCTCATGACTGTATTCACTTATCTGACTCCCCATTCAGATGTGGACAATGTCCTGCAGCGGATGACAATTGTTGGAGTGATTCTGAGTTTCCGTCAGTTAGCCCAGGGTGCCTTGGTTGATATATTGGAGGAACGCATTCCATTTCTTCTGAGCTCTATTCTTGATTTCCGTCACCACTTGCCCAGTGGAGATCCAATGGTAAGTTAACAGTTTTGGCAGTTTAATTGAAAATAAAAGCTTGGTGGGGAGTAAAGTTTCATTTACAAAATGACATTTAATACTTTCATGCACAAAATGCTATTCAATGGACATCCTTATCATCATCAGATGTGCTTCCCTCCTGCCCCAGAACAGGATTTCACTCTCCCCATTCTGATGCTTTCGTGTGACATCACAGGTATCACCAGGGGCATGCAGTCTAGTTTTATTTCATGGTGTAGGCAGAGACACTGGCATTCCAGGGGGGGACATGCTGCTACCAATGTGACCAGCCTCCTTCCCCACACTCGGTCCGCATGACAGTAGTATGACATATGCCCTGTAGAATTAAAATCCTTTTCTCTTGAATATTTTAGCAGTTATAGTTTCAAATGCATAGATCTTCAACAAAGTTTGCACACTTATATATTTTCGAAGAAAATGGAAAGAGGGGGAGGGATGGGGGTATTTAAGGTGTCATGTGACTAGTTGGCAAGGCAAGCCTGTTGATGTTGCAGCTCTAGGGTGTCATGTGACTAGTTGTCAAGGCAAGCCTGTTGATGTTGCAGCTCTAGGGTGTCATGTGACTAGTTGACAAGGCAGGCCTGTTGTTGCAGCTCTAGGGTGTCATGTGACTAGTTGACAAGGCAGGCCTGTTGATGTTGCAGCTCTAGGGTGTCATGTGACTAGTTGACAAGGCAGGCCTGTTGTTGCAGCTCTAAGGTCTCATGTGACTAGTTGGCAAGGCAAGCCTGTTGATGTTGCAGCTCTAGGGTGTCATGTGACTAGTTGACAAGGCAGGCCTGTTGATGTTGCAGCTCTAGGGTGTCATGTGACTAGTTGACAAGGCAGGCCTGTTGTTGCAGCTCTAGGGTGTCATGTGACTAGTTGACAAGGCAGGCCTGTTGATGTTGCAGCTCTAGGGTGTCATGTGACTAGTTGACAAGGCAGGCCTGTTGTTGCAGCTCTAGGGTGTCATGTGACTAGTTGACAAGGCAGGCCTGTTGATGTTGCAGCTCTAGGGTGTCATGTGACTAGTTGACAAGGCAGGCCTGTTGTTGCAGCTCTAGGGTGTCATGTGACTAGTTGACAAGGCAGGCCTGTTGATGTTGCAGCTCTAGGGTGTCATGTGACTAGTTGACAAGGCAGGCCTGTTGTTGCAGCTCTAGGGTGTCATGTGACTAGTTGACAAGGCAGGCCTGTTGATGTTGCAGCTCTAGGGTGTCATGTGACTAGTTGACAAGGCAGGCCTGTTGTTGCAGCTCTAGGGTGTCATGTGACTAGTTGACAAGGCAGGCCTGTTGATGTTGCAGCTCTAGGGTGTCATGTGACTAGTTGACAAGGCAGGCCTGTTGTTGCAGCTCTAGGGTGTCATGTGACTAGTTGACAAGGCAGGCCTGTTGATGTTGCAGCTCTAGGGTGTCATGTGACTAGTTGACAAGGCAGGCCTGTTGTTGCAGCTCTAAGGTCTCATGTGACTAGTTGGCAAGGCAAGCCTGTTGATGTTGCAGCTCTAGGGTGTCATGTGACTAGTTGACAAGGCAGGCCTGTTGATGTTGCAGCTCTAGGGTGTCATGTGACTAGTTGTCAAGGCAAGCCTGTTCATGTTGCAGTTAGTGTGAGAGTTGCTATGAAACGTTGAACATGGCAGCAAAACTTGAGAATTCTACAAAGGAGGAACAACAGTCTGTGATACATTTTTGTGAGCAGAAGGTGTACCAGATGAACAAATTCATCAGTACCTGTGTGCTCAGAATGGGGACAGTGCTGTCTCTCATATAGTTGTATATGTGTGGATTGAAATGTTTAAGAATGGCCATATGAGTGTGACTGATTCAGAGTGCTTGGGTCATCCAACCACAGCCACAACTGCACAGAATGAAGAAAACCTAGGGAACTGACTCTGCAAAACAGAAGCGTAACGGATGATGAAATAACTGAATATAAGCATTGGGTCTGCCTGTTTTATGGTGCATGCTAACCTTCAGTTCCATAAAGCGTGTGCCAGGTGGGGATCTAAGGAATTTATGGCTGAGCATAAGCACATGTGCTGAGACATCTGTTTCCTGCCACTTGGCTCATTATTGAGCAGAAGGTGACAACTTTCTGCAGTGAATCATCACAGGTGATGAAACCTGGATTCACCACTATCAACTAGAAACCAAGGGGAAGAGCATGCAATGGAAGTGTCCATCATCTCCTGTTGCAAAGAAATTCAAGATGCAATCATAAGCAAGTAAATGTTGACCATGTTCTGGGATTCTCAAGGGCCTATTGTTGAGACCTACCTGGAGTGCTGAACAACTGTCACAAGTGCGACCCATTTTGACATGCTTCAGAGAGAGCTGAAGCCTGCAATCTGCTCTAAGAGGAGAGGGAGAGACTCGGTGGGTGTCCAGTTGTTGCACGACGATACCTGTCCCCATACTGCAGCCGACAAATTGGAAACCATCAGGAAATTAAAGTGGGAAGTCATGGACCATCCAGATCACAGTCCAGATTTGGCATAATCTGATTTTCACCTCTTTGGGCTGCTGAACGAAGCTTTAGGAGGGAGACGAATGTGGTGCATCAGTGGCTGTGTGTGCTACCTAAGACTTTCTGTTATCATAGCATTAAGATGTTGGTGGGATGCTGTAAAAAATATGTTGAAAATCAGGGTGATTATGTGGAAAAATTATGTATTTTGTTTTTGTAATCATCAGTAAAACAGAGCTGTAAAATAAGAAGTGCAGAAACTTTATGAAGATCCTTCGTATATTTCTTCAGTAGTAACTCCCTTAGCATTTAAATTCTTTGATTTATAATATGGCCACCAGCCCTGTCTTTTAAATCCCTAATACCATATGATAAACAAAACTATAATTTTGCCTGTGGTTCTGTGAAACTTGGTCTCTGACATTAAGGGAGGAAGATAGACTGAGGGTGTTTAGGAGAATATTTGGACCGAAGACAGATGAAGTGACAGGAGTTTGGAGAAAACTGCATAATGCAGAGCTTCATAACTTGTACTCTTCTCCAGATATAATTAGAATGATCAAGTCAAGGAGGATGAGGTGGGCAGGGCATGTAGCACGAATTGGGAGACGACTGCATATAGGATATTGATGGGAAAGTCAAAAGGAAGGAAACCACTGGGAAGGTCAAGATGTAGGTGGGTGGACAATATTAAAATGGATCTTCGAGAGACAGGATGGGATGTAATGGATTGGATTGATCTGGCTCAGGATAGGGACCAGTGGAAGGCTCTTGTGAACATGATAATGAACCTTTGGGTTCCATAAAAGTTTGGGAAATTCTTGAGTAGCTGCAGATTTGGCAGCTCCTCAAGAAGGGCTCAGCTCCATAAGTAAGTAAGTAAATCGCATATGATAAAAGTTATACTGGTTTTTTAATTTCCATTTTGATGAGACTTAATTGAATATGTTTCATCTATACATTTCTATCTTCCATGATGTGACACCTTGTAGTCTGATAGACATTTACTGTTGTTTTAGACAAGCACAATCTTTGTGTGTGAAGCAGGCAAGGCATCCTCTCTCTGTACTCTGTAATGGCCTCAATAGTGTCTTGTCTCTCTTTCCATTTGTGTCGTGGCTGTCCTCAGCTTCTTTTCCTTTTCCTTCTCTGGAATCTCTTGCAGCTCCTCTTACTCTCCAAGCCTTTCTGTACCTCCCATTGTCACATGTGCCACATTTTCTGCCTTCTGTTTTTCTTGTCATTCACACTTGGCACCTTTAAGTACCTCCATTCTTTCAGTCTTGTCTGTTTTCTCCTTGGGGCACACAGTAGCATAGTGGTTGAGGAGCTGTGCTATAAGCCGGAAGGTCGCGGGTTCAAATCCCGATGGGGTCATTGGATTTTTTTCAGTTGACGTAATCCTTCCAGCCGCACTAGGCCCTGGGGTTTACTCAGCCTCTAACAGAAATGAGTACCAGGAATTAATTAAATAATTTTCCTGGGGAGTAAAGCGCGGCCGGCACGTAGGGCTGACAACCTTACCGCCATCTTTGAGCTGATTGTCTAGATAGTGTGGGACCCTCAACGTCTCACAGCCCTATGGGCCTTCACGGCCTGGTACAGGGATAGCTTTACTTTACTTTTACTTTTACTGTCTTCTCCTTAACCATTTTCATTTACTCAGGCCCAGTACTGTGGTTTCTGTCCATACAAGTCTTTCCACATTTGGCTTACCCTTCAACCTTGAAGGTGGAGGCAGTACATTTGTAAAAAATTGTTAGTAAACTCCTACCAGACTACACAGTGTCACATCCCAGAAGATAGTACTCTTCAGTTTCTAGTTGCATGAAAATTTATCAAATATTTTAGATTGTTTTGGTCACAGCAAGAATGGTGTTGTGTTTCAGGTGGTGAGTGAGATGGCATCAGCAGCAGGCCTTTCCTGCAAGGTGGATCCTACACTTGTGGCTGCTTTGCGCAGTCAGAAGAATGGTAACAGAATCCAGTCCTCTTCAGTATTAGAGCTGCACAGGCCATATATGTCAGCCATTTTATTTCAAGTGTACATGAACTTTATACACATAAGATACTCGTTTAGTTCGTACACTGAATCTTATACCATACCTGTTTTATGATCACTCCTGTCCGACAGAAGTTTGTCTTCCTCAGAGCACTATGCCATGTACACATTTGTTGCAGTGCATTTTGCAATCATAAAATGTCTGTTCAGAGCCTTCTCTTGACATATTCAGAAGTGCATCATTGTGGCAGTATGAAATTCGTCATAGAGTGGGGTGGAGTCCAGTTGCATCCACTTGACATGGAGACCACTGATTTGCCTATTGTACCTGCCCTGGGTGATTATGATGATGGAGAATTTGGTGGAATGAAGATTGGCAGGGGAAACCGAAGTCCTCGGAGAAAACCAGCTCCAGCACCACTTTGTCCACCACAAATCCCACTTGACCAGACCCAGGTTTGAACCTGAGCCACCGCAGTTGGAAGCCAGAGACTAACCGCGCTGTGGCGCGGCCATGAAATTCATCAACTAAAGAAAAGTGACAGTCTTTAAGCCTTGAGAACAGATGAAAATTGCGTGGTGCCAGATGAAGTATGAAGCAACATTTCAGCACCAGTTTTCACTATAATCAGCATTCTTCCACACAGTTTGAGAAGTATATGGCTTGGCAATATCATAATTGAGGAATGATACATCATTCAGTGCAGGTGTTTTCCCACACAGAGAGAGCGAGAGAGACTTAACTATCCACGCTTACACTCCCATAACTGGTAAAAGGTAAAGTGACCTCTGTGTGAGAGCATGAAGACATGTGGAGACAAGGCTCCATTCATTCTAGACTTTGGCCCTAGTTTCATGCTCCAGTTGCTTTACCCTTGAGGAGTGCAACACTGGTACCCCTTAGGTAGTAGGTTTGGTGGTTCCCAGAGCCCTTATGAATTTGGTATCAAAGAAAGGTGATACATGTCCTGTTCAGGAATCTAACCTTGGCCATATATCTTGTAGATCACTATATCTATTGAGCTGTTTCCAACAAAATATACATGGCAAGTAGTATTTGTTTATTTTGTTGTGTCATTTTTAAGTCACATGCTTTATTACATTATGTGTTAAATTCCTGAACTTGGTCAGTAGCCTGGTCTTTACAATGCAAATCTTATAATAGAAACTGTATATTGTGTGATCATTAGTTTCTGAACTGGTCACAATATGACACTACTGCAGTGAAGACAGAATTCTTGTTTTACGTGGAGGCAGAGTAGAATCTGACGAGTCATTCACCTTTCATTTCTAAGAAGTAACATGCAAAGTGGGGCTTTGCATTATGCCCTCTGTGATTTACATGACCTGGGGTTCGGTTTAGAGCATGGACATGAATGTTTTACTATTCCACTAATCCAGCCTTTTCTTCTCCACCTTTTCTGCAGTTGCAATGAAGCCTCGCCTTCCAGTGAGTGCCAGGATCTAGAAAATATTCCACGTTACTTTAATGCCCCCAGTGCGTTTTCATGGTGTGGTTCTTCATAATTTGTGCAACTTATTTTTCAGTGTACAAAAGTTTCTATTTGTGTTTGACAAAAATCTTAAACCTGATCATCTGTCAGAAGAATATGAATATGGTTCACTGAACATCTGCTGCATTTATTTTCAGAAACAGATGAAGATGAACATCTGTTGGCATGTTTGCTTATGGTTTTTGTGGCTGTATCAATTCCTAAACTTGCAAGAAATGAGAACTCATTCTACCGAGCATCTCTAGAAGGTCATGCAAATAACATACATTGCATGGCTGCTGCAGTGAATAACATATTTGGAGCATTATTTACCATATGTGGACAAAGTGATATTGAAGACAGGATGAAGGAATTCCTGGCTGTAAGTATGATATGCTTGGCTTTATGTAGCCACATAAGACCAACTTGAAAACTGATGGCATGAAAGTTGCTTATTCAAATTATGTATTTGCTTGGTACAGGTCTGTTATCAACTGTGACCACCAACAATTTTCATAAATAATAGAAACAATGAGAAGAATTTAGGATTGAATTTCATTTTTTGGGATTTCTCATTTTCTTCATGTCCTGAATGAACTCATTAACCAAAATGTGTATTCATCCAGTGATTGTGAACCTGGAAAGCAAAGTGTCATATAAACTGAACATGGCCAAAGACGTCACAGTGACCACATGGCCTAAGGTGTGCATTTAGCGGTCTCTGTAGTCTAGGGGTAACGTTCCCACCTCATGACTCAAGGTACACGGGTTCAAACCCGGCGGAGGTCGTGGAATTTTTAAGGGCGGAAAAATTCAGGGAACAAGTCGTCTGGGAGGGACTTTAAGCCGTGTGTCCCGTGTCGTAGATTTACAGCACGTAAAAGATCCTCATGTCTCTAGGAGACCTCTGAGCAAAATTAGGCAAAGTTTCCCGCCCAAGTAGTTTCCAATTCCTCTGGTAGATGGGGAAGTATCAGGTACCACTGCCAGAGAGGGCTGACCTCACTAGCAGAACGGGGCTCATAGGGAGCACCAGTACTGGAAGGGCATGGCGACTGGTAGAATAATTAAAGGTGGATGCATAATAGATAATTAACTGGTCACAGTGCATGGTGAAACCCACCCCCTCCATAATAATAATAATAACAATAAGGTGTGCATTTGCAAAATGCTAGGTTCAAAGTTCTGATCCCACTTGGGGCATCAGAGTTCATATTTTTCTTCCATGCCCCTTGGAGACAGAGGCCTGAAGTTGAGTGATCCCGCTGTATAGGGATTTCAGTCAGGTGTGCAACACATTAAATTGTGAACCTGAACTGAGTTAAGTAAAAAAGATAGAAGGGATTGACTAAAAATGGAAGAAATACAGAACTTTGGTGTATGTTTATGTAAATTAAGATTATTCAGTCATTCTGGTTCAGTTCCAAAGTAGTACCCATCAGTGCAGTGGAAGATCTGTGTACCTGTTTTAGAAATCTGCATATCTGAGTGTAATATTATATTTAAGCATCCTGTTGCACTCTATACGATAAATGATATGAACTCCGTCCCAAGTGCAAACAATATATTATATGTCTTTGATCTTGCTCTCCTTTACACTACATGTTTCGGCCTCAAATGGCCATCATCAGGTGTATACACTCACGTTGCTGTTACACCGCACTTAGTTTAAAATTTAACATTTAAAAACACATTGTTCCTTTCGTAAAGAATAGCAGCAGCACGCACACGGGGAGACTACACAAAATAACACCTGTACAGTGCTGGAAACAAGAACTAGCCGCTGCAGCACTATAGAGATAGGGCGAGTAACCCTGACAATTTTAAATTTTAAAATGTAGAGAAAAATTTTAAAGGATTTTAAAATTAGAACTAAAGATTTTATAAGTGCTAACGTGTGTAACAAAAATAATCTATAAACCAGACAGATATCAACGAAGTAGATGTTGATAATAACAACGAAAGGAACAATGTGTTTTTAAATGTTAAATTTTAAACTAAGTGCAGTGTAACAGCAACGTGAGTGTATACACCTGATGATGGCCGTTTGAGGCCGAAACATGTAGTGTAAAGGAGAGCAAGATCAAGGACATATAATATATTGTTTGCACTTGGGACGGAGTTCATATCATTTATCTGAGTGTAACATCATAAAGGTCAATGCAGGCTTATATTAGTTAAATGAAACCATTTTATGTTCCTCAGTTTTAGGTTTTCATTTAACATCCAATTTGACTGATTCCAGGTCGATAATCTTCATACTAAATTACCTCTATTTAGGATTTTTCTCGCTTTAATGTTAAAATCCACTGTTTTCAAAAGAACCTCACATGGGGTGTCACTACATGTGTTTACTTTTGTTCATTATAGCTGGCATCATCAAGTTTGTTACGACTTGGTCAGGAAGCAGATAAGGAGGCCATCAGGAACAGGGAGTCTGTGTACCTTCTGCTTGACCAGGTATTGTTTGTTTTCACATACTGTAGACTCATATGGAACCATTATAAATGAATTCAGTATACAGGCATGTTGAGTTGTACTAAGACATGAGAAATATACTACATTGAATCTGTAGACACTGGGTGAAATTCACCCTTTCGCTGTCAACACCAAATATGTTTATTTCCTAAGGTTCTAACTGCTTTTGTATCCACGTTTTCAGTGTGTTTCTTTTTCTCTATACATTACACCTCTGAAGATCATATTACCATGTTTAGCTGAGCATTGCATGCCCCTTTAATAAGGTATATGTGATTTTATGAAATTTGTATTTAACAGGAAGTGAACCAATAACTTCTGAAGGTGATGCAGAATTCATAAATAATTTACCACCACAGTGCTTTTCTCAGGACCACTGCTTTCTGATACTTTTTGTTTCTACTGTGCTGACACTATTCTGGGGCCCTTAAAAGGGTCACTTTCCTGTCTGTATTGACTGTGAAAAGGGACAGTTTTCTTGCAGTTCCCCAGCCTGTGTTCTTCTGGGTTGTACCTTCTCCCCCCCCCCATGGGCCTGAGTGACCACCTGCTGTGCAACTTAAATGTGTAACCAGACTGCATCCTTGCCCTAATCACCTGAACCCTGAGGATGGTAGCAGTATGGTTTCCCAAAATTTTGCTATCCACTGATATGAATACCATAAGCAAAACACACACTACTATACAAACCTTGCGATGTTAGAGTGGTTTCTTGTAGTAATAATCACTTTTGATGTTCCAGATTGTTCAGGAGTCCCCGTTCCTGACAATGGACCTGCTGGAATCGTGCTTTCCATATGCGCTGATTCGAAATGCCTACCATGCTGTGAACAAGCAAGAACACGCACAGGCATAATAGGAGTGGCCTCAGATCGGGCAGGACTGCTGTCTGGACTCCTGCCTATTGGAAGTCGCCCTGCAGCAGCTGCTTGTAGTCTGGCTGAGGGATCTGCTCAAAATTGGCACAAGTGTAGGATTGTATGATGTATGTATGGGAGTAAGTGGAACGTGAGAGACTGGCAACAGTAATGGTTTAGTTGAATGGAACAAGATGGCTTATGCACGTTCAACATTTTATAGTACTGGGTATTCGTAAGAAAGATTTCTTCCCTGCAGTTCAGTCATGTGCGGTTTGTCATCATCATCAATGATATTTATAAGCTTGTGACATGATTTCTATGAGACCATTATCACAAAAATTATTATTCGTGTCATTCTAAATGTAAGGGGAAACAGGATGACAGATTTTCTTAAAATCGCAGTTTCTGTTCTGTAAAATATAACCTGTCTCAGGCATAATAAGCAAAGAAGTAATTCCATGCAAGGTGGATTTGTTTAACATATATGAGAATGTTATTAGAGATGTTTATCTTACCTGTAGGATGGTGAAACAGGCATATACCAAATCATCTTCTGTGTTGTATTTTAGCGTCCTGTTGCACTGATTTAAGTCCATGATTTATTTAATCCGTCTTGCAGTGCATACACTCATTTATCTCCTTCTCTCCCTCGCACTACATGTTTCGGCATAATAATGCCATCTTCAGGTGCTTACTTATCCACGTCAAACCAGTTCATTGCATGCCATGTTCACACATTAAAATAACTAAAATATGTATCTATCATATACATTGTCAAACGTTAAAANTTCTGTGTATTTGAAATATTTTCTGACCTTGACTGGTGTGAGACCTCCTCTGTGGTCTAGTGGTCAGAGTTCCTGGCTACAGATCCAGAGGCCCTGGGTTCGATTCCAGGCACTACCAGATTTTCTGAGAAGTAGTGGGTCTGAAACGGGGTCCAATCAGTCTCGTGAGGATAATTGAGCTATTTCGAGGAAATAGTGGATCCGGTCTAGAGAACCGAGATTAATGGACATGGGGATCCGTTGTGCTGACCACGTGACACCCTCTGTCTGCAAAAGCTGGCACTAACTTCGCCGACAAGTGGCAGTCGCTCGGTCGGTATAGTTCACTTGCGCACTACAGGCCATGGAGTCCCCCCCCCCTGATGTGATCAAATGTACTTGATGCAGTTTGCATGGTTCTCCCTTCATGTGATTGAGCAGGCTGAGTTCAAACTCTGCAGTCTCTTCGTGTGCACTGTGTGTATTGTATACTTTTCTAAATGTGTCCATAAGCTTTTGCCATCCTTCGGGAATAGCTTGAACTGTATTAGTTCATGTTTTAGTCACAGCATATTATAAAAATAATTATTTATGTCTACATATGCAATTTCTGTTATTTGAAGAAATTTTAGAATCTCTTGAAGAAACAGATTGAGATATCTGTTTTAGGGACAGTGATAATGCATCTGTAGAAGTGATTCCTGGAGTAACAATTGTTGAAAATAATACAGAGGTTGGGGAACCACTGCGACATTTATTACATTAGCAGTGAAAATGTTAATATCAGTTTCATTTTACAAGAATAAAATACCAAAGATTTTTTATCTCATTTGTAAAATTCCAGCCCATGGCACTAGTATAGCTAGTGGATACTAATGTTTAAGGGAACATGCGGCCATCATCTTCATAGTTAAAATGACCAAGTAGCTGAAGCAGCATGTCTGCTCAAAACAGTATGAGAATTAAAAGGCTTGTACTGTTTTCAGGTAGCTGTATTAATGATATATCTGATTTCTTGGATGTTCTTGGAAGAGTATAATCATCTTGTGTTGCCATGCTTTAAATACAGCACATGAAGAAGTGTGAGCAGTCTTGAATGGTGAATAGTACTATTGAAATTAATTTAAATTAAAATACAACCATAGTAAAATTTATTGTCTCATTGGGAGCACTCTCAAACCTCTGAGGAAAAGTTAAGCCATTCCTAAAAGTGAAACATGTTGCATAATTGTATGTTATTTGGAACTATTCATTTCTTCTCAATGTAATAACTATGAAATATGCATGAAGCATATAATGTAGTTCCCCGTAAATCATAGTGTTGAAAAGTGGTAGTATGAGAAAGTTCTGTATGAAGAGAATGGATTATCTGAAATGGGGTTAAATGTTTTAATATGATGAACTGTTATCTGAAAATTAAGTAATCCTGTTTCCCCTTTTTTTGCTGAAATGTTCATGGGGAAGGAGTTTAATTCCTATTAAAAATGTGTAAATAATTTAAACATTTTGTATTTTAGCTTTAAACATTTTGTATTCTAGCATTCCATATTTATTTATAGTTGTGTAACCTCTATAGCCAGTAGACTGAATGGAACTTTTTATAAAAACAAGTTCTGCAAAGAACTGTATGATTTAAAGGAAAGTAGGCATCATGAAGAACTTATGATAACCTTTCCTTTAAATTATACCTTCATATATAAATCACAGATTATAAATTATGAGTTTATATATATCTCATTGACCAGTCTGTGTATAATTTATGCTAGTACAGATTTGCAGCACTTGAAAGCTGTCTGGAATAACGTTAAGATGTTGTGGTAGTGTCTTGTAAAAAATCTTTGATGCACACATGAAAGAAATTCATGTCATGTTTTTCTGTATATTTATAATCTACAACCGAACTACATTCTACATAAAAATAACTTCCAACAAAAGCTGGATTTTTTCTGTATATAAAAAAATCATTATGGTGCCATGAGAGGTTGTGGTAACACTGCGCAGCATGCCTTGGTTCCAGGTAGTACTGATTCTGCAAGTAGGTGGTTCTCTCCATTAACAGCTGTCAAAGTTGTCCCTGGGCTTAACTTGTTAAGTTGTATGCCATGAAGACGTATGGGGAAGCGGATGTATAGAACCATATTTTCTTGACCTCAGCACTAGTTGGAGGTGAGTTGTCAGCTTCATGCACTGGCTGCTTTACCCCCAAGGAAAAGCCCCCATTACCCATTGGATAGGAGACTAGGTGAGCCCCAGAGCCAGTCTGGACAACATGGAGGAGAGAAAATTCTTGATCCTACTAGGACGCAGAACTCTAACCACTTGATAGTCAGTCGCTGTCCCAGTCATCAGCTGTCATTTTTATGAAAAATGCTTCTTTAGAAGGGCTTGTGAAAACTTGTATTTTTTTTTTAAATATTGGCTGTAATGACTGGATGCAAATACATGAAGCAGAGTCCTTGGTGTGTGTCTGCATGTACAGGGAACTAATGACACTTCCACATTAGAATTTCTTCAGTTGTCATGTTTGTATCATTATTCATAGAAAATTGAGATGTCATATCCAGTTACATAATGTTCATGCCAAGGTGTGTGAAAATCAATAATTGATTTTAAAAGGGTTTGATGGGAGGAGAGCATGCGCACACACAAAATTATATATTTATTTATTTCTTGACTTACTCCCATAACAGTGCTCTGTCAGCTGCAATGGGTATGCAGTGTCGAATGAAAAATGATAGTAGATCTTTACACCCAGGAAGATTCCTGGTACTCATTTCTGTTAGAGGTCATGTCAACTCCAGGGCCATAGTGTGGCTGCAATGATTAGGCCAATTGAAAAATCCAGTGACCTCATCAGGAATCAAACCCACAACCTTCTAGCTTTTAGCATAGTGCCTCAACCAACTACACTACTGCATACCCCATATTCAGAATAGAGATTTGATAATACTGTGGCATGTAGACCCATTGCTGGGTACCAACCATGAGATAAGTAAATATAAAACAGGCCTGTTTCTACGGCAGCAGTTGCATAGAGCAGCCGACAAACAGTGTTTTCTGTGCAGTCTGTACCAAGATGTTATAAGCAGGACAGTTAGTGAAGTGAAGTCAGTTGAATGGAGTGAACTGTTGGTTGGTGAGTGACTGAGTTACTCAGAGAACTGCTGAGGTCCAGTCATTGTGAGCTGGTAGCTGAGGCAAGGGATAGTTCAGGAACCCAGAGGAAGGGAAACGTCTGCCATTGAAAGCCACTGCCAAGCAGTGGCAGTGAAGACGTAATTCTGGACCCTAGTGTATGCGTGCATGTGTATAAAATAGCGAATTACAAAGTGTAGTCATGTGCTTTGTCAAAAAAGTCTAATATTTTTTTTATTGCTAGTGGGGTGGGACTAAGTCCGTTGTACTGCGGCCACTTCTGGCCTATTGTACCATCCCCAGATGATGGTGAGGGTGATTGTGGAGCAATGGGTGGAATGAAGATTGGCAGGGGAAACCGAAGTACTCGGAGAAAACCTGCCCCAGCGCCACTCTGTACACCACAAATCCCCCCACTTGACCAGACCCGGGCCGCCGCGGTGGGAAGCCAGCGACTAACCGCTTGAGCTATGGTGCGGCCAAAAAAGTGTAATAAATCCAATCGTCAGTCCAAACCATGTGTAGTTACCCATGTATGAAACAGTACTGTTCTCAAAGACAATGGAAATACGGACTTTATCATGGGTTCACAAAATTATGGAATATACCTTAAAAAGCAGTCGCTAGTTACAATCTAATCTCTCAAAAATATAAAACTGGATAAAATTTGTCACTTGCAGATACAGTAGACCCTCCAGATATGGTGTGGTTTTATCATGTCCTCCAGTACAATTACATATTATGCTGCAGAAATTTCTATGAAATCTTTCAGTTACTTGCTGCACTATGCAGGTACAGAGGGTAAAATCCATAGTCCACTGTGAATAGGCTGTATGTGTATGGCTTTCCTAAACCTGGGCTTATTTCAAACAGCAAAATTTAACGAGTCCCCATTTTCCTGCCAAACCACAGTCTGAAAAATACCTTAATTTTTATGTATGTGTATTAGTTACTGCATAAATATTATATTCATAATAACAGGTATTCCAGAATTAGATGAACATCAATTTTACTTATAATGTGGGTGCTGAAGTTGTCCCTCAAAAGCTGCTTTATATCAAGGTATATTGTATAAGATGACCCAATTTTTGAGTGAGAATAAAAGCTAGAGATCCAAAAATCTCGATAATGCCAAGAGGTTGTTGCTTAGGACAAGAAAGGAAATTCTTTTATTAATGTAGGAACTACCAGAAGCTACAGCAAAGTATTGTGAGTACATTCATCAGTGTTCGACATGTGCTGTACCCATGTTAAACATTCAGGAAACAGAACAATATACATCATAAAACTGTATTTTAGGTAGGCAGGAGAGTGGACATGGACATGCTGAGAAACTAAGTACAAAATTTCAATGAATTTTTTATTCAAAAAACACGTTAATTCATATGATTACCATTTCTAAAATAAAGCAGAAATCACCTCTGTCTTCAGAATAAAGCTGATAAGTTTAAACATGGTCATAAGTGCACAAATATGACTTTCTGGTGTGAGTTGAAATGGAAACCCATAGGCACTTTTTTTCTCTCTCCTCACTTCCACTTTGGAGCACTGAGCTGATTTCTCAGTTTCATGATCATTTTTACAGATGGTAGGACTCCTTGGACAGGTGATCAGCTCGTCACAAGGCCTCTACCTAAACATAGGACAATACAAACACAGAATAAATGTATACACACACCAAACATCCTTGCCTTGTGCTGGATTCGAACCCATGATCCTGGCTTTGAGCAAGCGAAGACAGTACATGCCTTAGACCACTTGGCTACTGTGACCGGCATAGGCACTCGCTATATCTCAACTATTTTGTGCTATAATATTCTCAGCCTTACTTCCACAACATAGCTTCTCTTTGTAATGCAACTAAATGACTATGTCATGACAGTCCAATAAAATACTCATTTGAAAGGATTCAGTCTTCACGTTAACATATTAATGTTAACTGAGTACAGCTTATAAATTCTACTTAGTTTCTGTGGTAGTATCCGGTTCATTTCTGCATATCACTGATATACGTCTTCCCCTCGGTATAATCTGATCTCCAAATTTTGAATGGGCGTTTCCAAGAATTTCATGGGTGAATTCATACCTTGCAGTATTTCTGAAAATTAAAAGTGTAAGTTAAACTGATGTACTTGTTACATAGGAACTTGAGGACAAGGGGAGCCCTCTTTGGGTGATACTTTACAATGCTACAATCTGTGGTGACAATGGCAGGATAATCTGGATACTGTACAGTCAACATGAAGACGCTGTAAAAAGCTTGCCATGAGAGATTACTGGAATTATTTCTGAGGCATATATTGATATACCCCCTCGTTGGTGTCTCCACCTTATCGTGGTGAGGGGGTTTGAGTATGCCAAGGACCCTGAGAGCTATACCAGCGGTAGCGTAGCTACTGGCAGGGCCTCCCTTGCTGGACAGGTCAAAGGGTAGGCATCAGACGAAGAGAGACACCAAAAACCAAAAACTGATGCCAGAAGCAGCGTCATCAGCAGCGACTTGAAGCACAGAACAAATGATGCTCGAGATGGTTCAAGTTCGTATAGCAACAGGCGTGACCAGAGTGGTTTGAACGGCTGTTGTACTGCGATGTGGAAAGCAAATGGAAAAACTACCACATTATCACTTTCCTGGATAGTCTCTTTCAAAAAACAGAAGATCACATTAAGTGGAGGAACTGTTTTGGAAGAGACTGTGAACCTGTCATCTGACAGTTACTGATCAATCAATCAATATTGATATAGAAGTAGATAAGGTGAAACCAAGTCCAGTAAACAACAGTTACTAATTAATACATTTTAATATATATTGCAGCCTTATACTACCTACACATGATGTGTGTTTTTAACACAATCCTAGACAGCAACTTTCTTCTATTACAGATGCCTACTTCAACATTAGTTGTTTCTGACAGGTTTGTTTAGACTGGAGATCAAACCCTGATCACTCAGTCCTTGGTCAGTCACTGTACTGATTGAATTATCCCACAGAATTTTATGCTTGTTTTACTGCTTGTATTAGTTTTGTGATAACTGAAAAACAATATGCAATATATAATGAAGTCAGATCTTTACAGATCTCGTAACCATGAATGGAAACACCCTTTATTTGTTGTGAATGATGAAAGAGTTAAAATGCTATCATCAGTCAGTAGGTATGGCAATAGGATATATGCTGGAAGGCCACGGTTCAATTCCTGGCAAAAGCGATATTTTTCTGTTCTTTACAGCATCCAGCCTCCCATCCAATGGGTACCAGGAGCGATTTCCTCAGGGGTAAAGTGGCTGGGGCATGAAGCTGACCACTCACCTCCATTTCGTGCCAAGGTCAAGAATGACAGAACGATATCTCCACCCCATCCCCCTCTCCATATGGCTTCATGACACTGTGCTTAATTAATTAAGCATTGAGAGTTTCTTTTTAACCTATCAGTCGGTCAGTCTGGTCTTTGTACGAAACTTTCTGTGGCGTGCACTACAAATATCTGAACATAACGTAAGTTTGAACTGTCTTACGTACTTCTGCCATTGCCATGCACTGTGAAACCCCCATTTAATATTCTTCACTGCAACGTTTTTGCCGATTAAATGATATGTACATAATTTCACAGTATTTCATAATTCGTGCAGTAATTTGTCAGTTAGCATCATGAAACTGAAAAGTAAAAATCCACATTCCACAAAGTTACATCTTTTTTTTTAAATTCAAAATATACTTCAAGAAAAACAGATTTTTTCAAAGCTTATCATTGTACAAAATTGAATTGTCTTACAACTGAATGTCACAGACAGACATCTGATATTTAGTTTTGCACCAGCTGGATGTGTAAGATAGGGCAACAGTTCAGCTTCAACCCTTTCAAGATGAACCCCAAATATATTTGTTTCCATTCATTTTCTTTTCTTTGCACTAATGCTGAATATACTCATGTTGTGTTCTTTAACTTCTGAATTTTTCATGCTTTTTCAAAAGGATGTAAGTTGAACTGATAGTGAACCTTTTTACGAGACAAAATCAAGACAGTAACAATAATAAAACTATTGGTATAAGTTTTATTTGTTAAAAAAAATCTGGTCAGGAGGCTATTTCAGTGCTTGTAAGATGGGGGGGGGGAAGTTAAATGGCTTGATCTTTGGTTATCAGCTGAGATACAGATGGTCAGACAGGGTGACTGTAAAATCAGCACTTTGTAGTGAATTTTGAAACCTGAAATTTGTTAATGTGTTTGGTGGACTGATAGCGAAAAATTTAAAGTCATGAACTACTTACACGTATAATCAGAAGCAACCACATTATTATAACTGCATTAAAACAATGAGCAAAATCAATGCAAAGGTCCTACAGAATTTCTGTACTCTATCTAGAAAGTAAAAGGTTGATATTTAATTTAAAGGATGATACAAAATTAAGATTCTTAACAGATCTGTCAATATAACATCTTAAACAAAACATTAACTTAATGTCCATTATACACTTACCATATTAAATTACACTAACCTCATTATGTAAAGAGAACGTCTCTTCAAAAGTATATCTACAACTTGTTCTCTATTCTTCTCATGGATTAGTCGCATAACGCTATCAGATAGCAGACTGAGACCTGCAATAGTATTCCCACAGAACTGAAATCAGAAACATCAGAAACTAGAAAACCTCTAACTGTACACATATATGCCACAAAAATAACAACCCGTTTCACTGGTAGGTAAAGTAAGTAAAGGTATCCCTGTTAGAGGCCATGGAGGCCCATAGGGTTGTGAGATGTTGAGACTCCCACATTTTCTAGACAATCAGCACATGCATGCCACTCTTTACCCCCAGGAAGATTCCTGGTACTCATTTCTGTTCGAGGCTGAGTTGACCCCAGGGCCATAATACGGCTGGAAGGATTAGGTAAATTGAAAAATTAACCTCATCAGGATGAGCTCAAAAGCATACTTTCATAAGAATGAAAATCTGGTTGGTAAAGATTTCTTGATGAAAATTATACTTCTTAATTGTAATCTGAATATACCAAGTTTCAATCTGACATTTTTAGTACTTCCATGTTAAATCCTCAGACTATAACACACTGTCTTAGATTTCAATTAAAGTTTGTAAAATACTGAGAGGGACAGTCAATGGAAGAATATTTCTGAAATTCATTTTGAAGTCACAAGTAATTTATATATAACACACTATTCATATTACCTCATGAAAGATTCCAAGGAATAAAAGAGATTTCAAATACGTTGTGCGTTCAAGTTCTAAGGTCTCTGATTTTTTTTCTCACACAATAATCATACAAAAAATTTGAAACTTCTGTCACTTTTCAACGTAATCTCCCTGCAGCAGTACACATTTTTCACAATGTCGACGCCATGATTCCATGGCCGCTGCGAACGCTTCTGTAGGAGTCTGTTTTTGACCACTGGAAAATTGCTGATGCAATAGCGGATTGAAAAACGGCATCCATGTCTCATCCATTGTCACAGTTGATGAAAAGAAAGTCCCATTCATGCCTTCATCACGTGTCAACATCGCCTGGCAAACTGGCATGCGTGCAGCCTTGTGGTCATCCGCCAGTATTTGAGGCACCCACCTGGAGGACACTTTCTGCATTCACAGGTCTTCATGCAGGATTTTGTGCACAGATCCCATGGAAATGCCAACTTTGGAGGCGATGTTTTCCACACTCAATCGGCAATCCTCCAAAACAACTTTCTCAACTCGCTCAACCATGTTGTCAGACTGGCTGGTGCGAGGCTGAGATTGTTTTGGTTCGTTGTCACACAACGTTCGGCCTTCTTTGAACTGTCGCGCCCACGAACGCACATTTTTCACATTCATGACACCATCACCACACGTCTCACTCAACTGGCGATGAATTTCAATGGGTGTTGCACCACGCAAGTGGAGAAAACGAATGATTACTCGCTGTTCTTGTAACGAAAACGTCGCCATTTTAAGTATTAAAAACACTCCTCACTCTCGCCGCTACCACTAGAGTTCAGTGTGCCGTAGAGTGCTGCCATCTCTGTCACGCATTCACAAAGAGTGCACACATATTTTAAACTAAACTGCATGTGTCTATCTGCTCCCAGTCCTGAGAAAAAAATCAGAGACCTTAGAACTTGAATGCCCCTCGTACCTTCTGACATTTGAGTCGGGACATTCTGACAAAATGACACGAGTGTTTTATGTACTTTCATCATTTTTTTTCCCTTGGCACTGCATCCGCAGTGGGCCTAGGCCTACCTCCATGAACTTCCCCGTTCACTTCGGTTTTTCTGGATCTTACACATTCAGTAGGACTCCTTGGACGGGTGATCAGCTCGTCGCAAAGCACAAACACAGAAAAACGCACACACACAAACTAAACATCCATGCCCTGAGTGGGATTCAAACCCAGTTTCCCAGTTTCCAAGCGAGCAAAGACAGTACATGCCTTAGACCACTCGGCTACCGTGACCGGAGCTTTCATGATTACAGGAAGTAAATATTTAGGCTGCAATGTCAATTCCAGACAAATCATATTTCACAAGCAGTTCTGTGTGTCATGGAAGGTACCATGTTCCAAAATGAACAGTGCAATCAAAATATTGTGTCACATAAAGAAGTGTAGGCAGTGTCTGATATTTTCCAAAATCTGAAATGAAGACTTACACGAACACTGTCAATGTGAGGCTTGATAACACCTTCTTTAGCAAGGTCCAGTACATGCACAAGACTTAGTTGAGGTGTTCCTGGAGGAAATGCTACGTCACGAACCCGCTGCAGAATGCTTGCATTCTGTGTATTCCAATGTAATCTTTCTGTCTCTCTGTAACCATGGATGGCCTGCATAAAATGTTAATGCTTAATTAGTTTGATATGTATATACAATTATTGTTTTCAGACATTATCCATCAACCTGTTTTTTTATTCAGAATACACAGTGTTTTGGAGACTGGATTCTGTCTCCGTCTTCATGTGAAAGCCTACTCAGTTGGACCAAATCAACAGAGCTAGTCCTTGTCTCTGGACACCAGCACCTGAGTGTCTGAGTCTTATGTTATGACTAACAGTCAGTAGGCCAGTCTGCCTTGGAATAAAGCACCCATCTGGGGCTTACGACCATGTTTTTATTACTGTCAGACAGTTGCGGGTTTGTTGATGTGGGGCACTCTCTCTCTCTGATGAGAGGATGGGTCTGTTGTTTACAATTGCTACTGGCCCTCACCAGCACAGTCATTCTCAGGTCGGAGTCCTGTGGGACTCGTAACCATATTTTACTGTCTCAGATTTGAGACTTCCCTTTTTGTCACCTCCTACAACTCACACGGCTGTGGTGGAGGTATTAGACCTTGCCTCCACACAAGATACACCAGAACCAAAACAAGATAGGATATATAAACCAAACACAGCATAAACCACCTGTGAGACTTAAAACAAACATTAAAAACATTAAAAAAACTCCGCACATATGAAGCCCGGCACCTATGTCCATGCACTATTCATGGCTACTGTTGTTAAAATTGGAGTACTATCATATTACAAATGCCAGGCAGGCACGATTTTGGGAAACAAAACATGATGACAGCCTAAATAAGGTAAAGCTAAAGTTAACCCTTGGCTTAATTAATTAACTTTGACACTAGATGGAGGTGGGCGGTCAGCTTCAAGCCCCTGCTGCTTTACCTCCAAGGAAACAGCCCATGGTACTCACTGTATAGGAGACTGGCTGGCCCCCAGGTGGACATGTAATGTGTTGTTAATTAAAATTTTCTATAGCAAAAACACATGGAAAAGTGCAAATGCAAATAAGAACTTGTAAAAGTACTTTACTGGACAAGAAAGAATAAACACCTCAATTGCTACAGATATTGGAACACAATTTTTGTGTTAATATATAGCAAGCTGTTACATTTACAGTAGAATTATGAAGAGCACTCAGAATAAACTAAAGGGCCAGGCAGAACTGCAGAGGTCAAGAGACATAAGTTTCCACAATGCAAATACTATCGTAAAAGATTTCACCAAAGGACATTTGGTGCTTAATGGCACTGATTTCACAATGGAAAATTATTTTTTGTTATTGTTAAAAATATTACTAATGAATTACTGAAGCAATGATAAACAAAGTTGAATGAGGAGCTTCATAACTTGTACTCTTTGCCAAATATAACTAAAATGATCGAGTCAAGGAGGGTGAAACAGGCAAAGCATGCATAGAGAATGGAAATGCATACAAACCTAATGCAGGTGGGAGGATAACATTGATATTTATCTTAGAGAGGGAATGGGATGGTATGGACTGGATTCATCTGGCTCAAGATAAGGACAGGTGGCAGGCTCTTGTGAACATGATAATGAGAAGAAAGCAGTCTTCTGGGATTTGGCACCGTGTATATGTGGTGTTAACCGACGTTTCGGAGGAACGTATCGCCCCCATCTTCAGGGTAGAAGAAAAAGTATAAGAATTCTGCAAGCGACAACACCGTGAGAGTCTGCTTTACCGTTTCTCACGGTGTTGTCGCTTGCAGATTTCTTATACTTTTTCTTCTACCCTGAAGATGGGGGCGATACGTTCCTCCGAAACGTCGGTTAACACCACATATACACGGTGCCAAATCCCAGAAGACTGC